ATGCTTGTGGTCAATGGGTTCACTAACCTCCATGTTCAATCTCGACATGTGCCAACTCAGAACAGTGTTGCTACTAAAGAGCTCAACCACATCACACTTGCCAGTTTGACAAAACCAGCGAGTCTGCTCACCAAAATAAGCTTCAGCATAGTCACCGAAGACACTTGGTTCATAGTCATCTTCTTCTTCAACTGCAAGTGGAACAGGATCTGGACTATCAAGTCCAGGAACAGCAACATCATGCCATTCATCATGATCACGTCTGATCTTGGATTGGTTGACACGCATGACAGTACTATCGACATGAACATTGACCATAGCACCTTCTTGTGAGATAACAGTACCTCTGACCCATCTTTCCTTCTTCCATGCCTTTGATGCAATGGAGTTAGCATTGACAGGGGGCGTCCAAACAAAAACCTTATCACCTGGCTTGTAAGGTCCATCTGATGGCATTGTACGTTTGGACATGTCATGCCTGAGATCAGCAGCTTGTCTTGCTTCCTGATGTGCCTTCAATGCTAACCGTTGCAACACTTGTTGGGTTCTGTCTTCAGGTAAAAGTTCAACACTAAGTTGAGCAGGATCAGAAGTTTCAACGTCCAGAAGGTCAGGTGGTCTTCTACCAGTGGCAGTTTCCAAAGGTGAGTGACCACTAAACAGTCAGTTGAGTGTTTCTGGCCCAAACAGTACGTTTCACAGCTTCTCTAATTGTCACTCCTCTGAACCTATCATAATTCCAGTTCTTGGACATGATTTGCCATTGTCATTTGAAAAGTCGAACAGCTGATTCAGCTCTGTTTGGCCATGGGGTCTTGAACCACAGGGACGTTCCTTGATACCATGGGTTCGGTAATAAGTCAGAAAGTCTTCTTGGAAAAGGGTTCATCACCTACAATGGCCTTAGGCATACAATGATTTTCATCGGCCCACAACCTTGGAGCTTGAATAGTCTCTTTGTTGCCCAGTGAGGTTTGTGCCGTAGCCCAAAGTAAGTTTGATGTACCATCAAGAACAAGCAACACCACGTACTTGCTCTTCGCCAACTGGATTTCAGCATGACCAACAAAGATAACATCTCCAAAGTTGGTGCAAGAGAAGCACTACACACACGACACTTGTTGCACATGTCTTCATACTTTTCATAAACAGAGTCAGGAAGTCCTAACATGGAAGTCCTTCTTCTGAATTGAGTAGGAGACATGTGATAGTGTTTGATATGAAGCTTGTAAAGTTCTACACTATCCTCAAGCTTTCTCAGCATCTTCTTGAATGCTGGTGTCATGGCTTGCACTTCACTACCAGGTAGTGGAACAGAGACCCGCCTAGGCCCAAGAGCTTCACTACCTAGTTTCTCGATTTGACTTTCTGAATCTTGCTTACCACTTGGACGTGCAGGTGCAGAAGATTTCGATTCAATGACTTGAGGTTCATCATCATGTTCAAGGTTCAAATCCCTAGCAATCTTATCCAGTTCATCTTCCTCATCAAGCGTGGGATATGAGACAACAACCTTCTTTCTGGATGAACCTCCTTGAGAGTCATCAACGACCTTTGGTTTCTGCTTACCTACATGTTTAACAGCTGCAGGAGGACCTACCTTAATCCTTTTTAAGCTTGGTCCTCTCGAAATCGGTTTGCCTTCCTCTCGCTGTAGAGAGCTTGGCTTTTTCTGTACACCTGATGGCTCAGAAGAGGCTGACTCAGGGTGAAAAAGATCATCTATGTTTCCTCTGAAAGGTTTGGCTCGATCCAGATCACTCTTGATGACATTCTCAGGGATCACGTAGTCCTCCTTGATCTTGTAGATCGTTTTGCCCTTCCAGTACTCTTCACTCTGTTCAGAAAACCTCTTCCTTTCACTGCGCCAGTTGTCCTTGTGGGGAACCTTCTTCTTGCCCTTCTGGAACTCCATGTGAGTCTCTCTCTCATCAAGAAGTTGATCTTTTGGACTTGGAGTTGTCTCTGATCGATTCATCTGATGTAAGTTCATTCTTTTGTCCTTGTGATGCCTGATGAGTTCACGACGTAGTCCATCAAATTGCCAATAGTCACCAGACACAAAAGCTTCTTCTTCTTGAACATCTTGTTTCACAGCAATCTGACTGTACTCAAAGTGATCATTTTGTGAGAAGAAACTCTTGACTCGTGGAGTCTTGAAATGAACTTGGCTCATCTACCATGCAACATCTTGTAGATCAAGAATGAGATGAGTACTCATGGCTGTCTTCAAAACCATTTTTCTCATGCCAATACGCGCGCAGGACAAGTAAGCCTTCTCTGGAGTCAAGTCAAATTGAAATCCAAGGTTCCTCATCTGTGGAAGTGACATCAACAATGGGACATCACCTTCCTCCACAATGTCGAAGTCTGTGAAGTGAGTGTTCCATCCATTGTCATACATGAATATCACAAGTTTCTCAGTGCACTTGGATTGTTGAGAATTTGCGAAAAAGAATCTTGAACTTGTTGGCTGAATTTCATACCAGAGTCCACTGTTGGGATGTGAGCCAACATATCTGCAAAATGCTTCAACTGCTCGTCGAGAGCCCATAGCTCTTGTGCATCCAAGGCCCAGGATACATACAGTTGGTGGTGCAGAGTTCTCTGTGTGAAAAGCTAATCCATTCTCACATGCCAGATCAGGTTGCTTATATGAAATGAAAAAGCACTCTGCTGCTCATCTGATTCCTCTGACTGAGCAGAGCTTTCAGTATTAGATGGTATCTCTGGCTCAACAGAGTATCCATATGAAAACAATGAAGTGCCTTTTGCCAACGGCTTCCATGAAGCCTCACCTTGCTCTAAACCAACTTCTCTGGGCACAGGAGCTGGACGTCGTTGTATACCTTGTCGAAGTGCATCAAGATCACCAACTAACACAGGGAACCTCTTGGCTTCCTTCCTGTGGAACTGTGCTGTTGCGTCACGTTGGTTCTGTCCTCCTCGACGAGTGCGTCGATGGTACTCTTGCTCTTCATAGGTGGCTGCTGGGGCATCCACACGTGCTGGTTCTGTTTCTGCCAATGCAAAGAATCCATGACCAGAACTTGATGCCGCTGAAGAGTAATGAGCTTGTTGTTGTTGTTGTTGTTGTTGTTGTTGTTGTTGTTGTTGTTGATTCTGAATAGCAGGAGTCGATGAGGTCTGAGGTTGAACATAGTTGGACTTACCTTTGCCATCTCCTGGTTTTCCTCCTTTGCCTTCGTCATCCTTGCCTTTCTTGCCTTTCTTACCTTTTCCTTTTCCTTTTCCTTTCTTCTGGAAGTATCCATACTCATCAAGATAGTACAGATCATCATAGGTCATAGGCCCAATAGCCTTCATTCCAGGTTTGATCATCGGCCCAATAGCCGTCATAGGAGTCATTCCATTCATCTCCTTCATTCCATCCCTCATCATATCCTTCTTCACTCACCATGTGAGAGCGGCCTTTTCTTCTTCCTTTTCCTCGGCCTTTTCCTTTCCTTGATCTGAAGAACCTTCGTCCTCCTCTGCCTTTTCCTTTTCCTTTTCCTTTTCTCTTTCCTTTACCTTTACCTCGTCTGGTCTGTCTTCCTTGGAACCTTCTCTGATACCATGTGTAGTCAGCGTCATCGTAGACCCAGAAAACATCTTCTAAAGCATCCAGGAATCCTTCTGCGCCGTCTTCATCATCTTCGGCCCAATAGCCGTCGGTTCCTTCTCATTCACCTTCATCCAGGAGGAGGAAAGATCTTCTCTGCGCCATGCCAGAGGGTTGCATATTGGATTGTCTACTGCCGTCTTCGTAGTGCAAAACATTTCCAGGAATAGATCTCTGAGTTCTTGCACATGGTACTGGTCAAGTGTTCGTCCACGATGTGTCATGATACTTGTGCGTGTGTTTCTCTGATCTTGCGTCAAATCTGCTAGACTTACAAAAATCAATGCTAGCAAGTTGTCACCTAAAGGGAAAACTCTTCTCTGCTGCTGTCGTCGATTTTCATTGAGTTGTTTGTAAGCTGCAAGCGCCATATCATCTGTCCATGGCACCACAACATGTGGTTCTGCGCCTGGTGTAGCAGCTGCGATCTGAACCTGTTCATTTTGATCTCGTTCATGATCTTGTCGTCATTGTTGAACAAACAGGATTGCTTCTGGGCTAGAAATCAACAGGTCTGGTATCAAATCCATCCAAGACTCAATAAGCCTATTTCCAGTCAGTTGAAATCTCGTCATCCACTTTTGAAGATCCATAGTTCCTCTGTTGTACTTCATGAACTGCATGAAACGATACAAGAACACGTTCTGGGCTCCCTTGATGAAATGAGGTCGCAAGAATCTTTTGAAATAGTTGACACCATCGTTGGGATCTCTCAACATATCTCGATCCAGTAGTCTTTTGTACTGAGATGCCTCACCTTCCAATCTGGTCCTCAATGCAGGTCCACGTTTTTCAGGTTCTAGCTCGGTGATGTCACACCAATCACCAATTGCATCCTCAAAAGCAAAGAAACTGGTTCGTCCATCATATGCAGGGGCTACCTACCTTCGTGGTCATCTTCTGCGTCATGTGAATTGAGGTTTGTTGGGGGGCTCTTCTCATTGCATACGAGTCATATTGATTCCATCCATCTGCATCGACAATGTCGAAGTCATGATCATAGCCATGGCTTGCCATATTTGGGCTCTACCTGGATCTCACCTTCAATGAAGGATCACTGCTCAGCTACCACTTGAAGAGGGGCACTAGCGTCTAATATAGATCAGCTAGAGCGTCTTCCTAGACAGCACCGCACCTTTTGTACTCGGCTAATTGCCAGTCTGTGCGGTGTCACAGGATTACTCTATATCTCTCTTGAGCCTTGACAGCATAAGTAAATGTGCTCTTATACTCATGCTATATTCCCATAGGAATCCAGCCAAAACAAAAACAGGGGGGCTTACAAACCTAGAGCATATATATATATTTATATATATATGTATGTGAGTTATATAGTTGTTGTGTCTGTGCGGTACATGACATGGTGATAAGCCAGGCAAACGGCTGGCATCCCGACCTCGGCCTCCCTACGAAGGCAGGGTGCTTTGATGTCATGGTCACCTCAAGTTTTTTTTCAGTTTTTGGTCCTTTGCTTGTGAAATTGGATGATGCGAAGATTTGGCAACTTTACATTTCTTGGTAAAATAGTGTAAAACAGTATACGGTATATCAATATCAAAATATATATATAATAGTATACAACGTTATACAACGTTTATATAGTATATATATAGTAAACGTATGATTGTAACTGTAATTCTTTTTGCGGTTGACTGGCTTCCAGCTAGGAATTTTGGGGATGGGTTGAAAGTTTTGTGTGCCAAACCCATCCACAGAGGGGTGTTTCAAATGACAATGTTTGAGTACATTTTCACATGTCCGCAGTTCAGACATGCCATGGCGATTCCATTTTTGATGTTTCCGGATGTCAACCCAGGAGTTGCTGATCACCATGGTTGGAGCCCCAAAACATGTTTTCCCAACCTGCTGCATTGGATGGTTGGGGTAAAAAATTAGAGGCCCAAAACGGAACCGCAACCCCCCAAACCAATCAAGATTCGTCAAATTTGACGTGGGTTTTGCTGATGATTTGGGGTACAAGAGGTGCCAGCAAAAATGCGAGGTCGTGCAGACCCAGGGTCTGCAAAGGGGTTCCTTGGAAGATGCGAGGCAGCTCCTGAACAAGGACTGCTGCCATGATAGCAGCTGGATGTGCTTCACCCTGTTCAAACATGTGCAGATGGCAGTTGGAAGCATTGCCTTGTCATTGAACTGTGTGTTGCAGGTGTCTAGCAAGTGGAAAGGCAAGGACCAGGCTTGCGAGGGATTGTTCAAGACCCAGTGAAGTTGATCAAGATCACAGTGCAGGATGTATAGCTTGAAAGGCTAACATGAACTATGAATCAAACCATTAGGAGATATTTTCCAGCATTTGAATTTGGGGGTGTACCGTGGGAAACAGCAGGCGAACCAATGCAATGAACCCCGTGCTGCCAGGGCCTCACAATCCTATCACTTGTTGATTGATGCAACATTTTAATGCATTCAATGTTGGTTTCAAAATGTTTTAAAGCAAACTAGTTGTGGTCACACGTGGTCATGGACAGCAAAGATACGGAGGGACAAGGATTCTTGCACGGGATTGAACACGCATATGGAAGTTGTGGCAAAGATACAAGATGCAGAACCAGCGCTGTCAAGAATGCAAAGATAGGGGTGACATGAAAAGATGTCAGGATACAAGACGCAGAAGAACGTTTGCTATATTTTGATATGCGATGCGGCCCCAGAAAACAACCTGCCAAGGGCGAAAGGGCGAAAGAAGCCATCCACCACGCCCAGCTGGAGGAGGTCAGCGGGGAGATCGGTTAACTAAAGAACACCCCAAAAAAACCTCTGAATACTGAATGCTATACATAAAGACGTACGGCATGTGTATATATATAGTATACCGTTTTTTGGCACTATAGTAGCATGTTACGAAAGCCAGCTAGCTGGCTAGTTGCTGTTTGCGAACGAAGTGAGAATAGGGGGTGTGGGGGGGGGGTGGTTGCCGAAAGGGAACGAAATCTCGCCGTGCCCCTGTGTTGAGCGCAAGAAAACGGAGCATTTTGCTGGATTATGTACCACTAGGTAATTTGCTGACGGTGGGGTATCGATTCCCCCTAGGTCCGCCTTTTTGGTGGCCGGAGAGACCATGAGGATGTATTGGAAAATACAATGAAACTGCAGGAAAACATGATAACGATCAGAGGAAATCGTACAAAATCCCCTGGAAAACGGACGAAAACGGAGCGAATGCTAGGAACAAACCATGGAAAATCCCTTGGAAAATGGAGGAAACCGGAGCGAATGCTAGGCGCAAACCATGACGATGCAGTAAACATGCTGGAAAAATACAGTGAAAGTGCAGGAAAATGTGATAACAACGAGAGGAAATGGTGCAAAAAGGATCGGAAAATGAAGGAGTCAGGTAAAACTCTTGGATTAATATTAATATTGAAAAGGTATGAAAATGAAGGAAGCCAGAGGAAATGGTGCAAACACCTATGGAGGAAAGAGGTGAAAATGATAGGAAACATGTAGTAAAAAAATGCTGGACAAAACATATTGAAAACCCACGAAGAGGATGTATTGGAAAATACAATGAAACTTGAGGAAAACATGATAACGATCAGAGGAAAATGCTAGGAACAAACCATGCAAAATCTGTTGGAACATGGAGGAAACCGGAGTGAGTGCTAGGAACAAACTATGACGACGCAGTAAACATGTTGGAAAAAGATAGTGAGAGTGCAGGAAAATGCGATAACAACCAGAGGAAATGGTGCAAAAACGATCGGAAAAATCAAGGAGACGGATAAAACTCTTGGACAAATACATTGAAAATGCAGCAAACCAGAGGAAATGGTGCAAAAAGGAGACGGGTAAAAATCTTGGAAAAATAGATTAGAAATGCATGAATAGACTGAAAACCCACGAAGAGGATATAGAAACTGCAGGAAAACATGATAACAATCAGAGGAAATCGTGCAAAATCCACTGGAAAATGCTGGAAAGATACAGTGAAGGAAAATGTGCTAACAACCTGGCAGGAAAATGTGATAACAACCAGAATAAAGGGTGCAAAATCTGTTGGAACATGGAGGAAACCGGAGCGACTGCTAGGAACAAACGACGATGCAGTAAACATGCTGGAAAAATACAGTGAAAGTGCAGGAAAATGCGATAACAACCAGAGGAAATGGTGCAAAAACGATCGGAAACTGAAGGAGACGGGTAAAACTCTTGGAAAAATATATTGAAAATGCATGAAATGCAGGAAACGAGAGGAAATGGTACAAAAAACCATAGAGGAAAGCGGTGCAAATGGTAGGAAGCATGTAATAAAAAAAGCTGGACAAAACACAGTGAAAACCTACAAAAGAGAAGAAAGTAACCACAGGAAACGGTAGAAAAAGCAGTGGAAACTGGAAGAAAAGTTGTGACAATATTAGGAAAACGGTGTACAAGCTAGGAAATGCTTGTAACAACTAGCGGAAACGATGTAGAAAACAGTACAACATGGAGGACACGCGTGAACATGCTAGGAGGCATGTAACATGTTAGAAAAATACAGTGAAAACCTAGGAACATGTTATGACTAAAGATGCTTTAAAAATATAGTGAAAACCAAGACAATGTTAACGAGCGGAAACGTTGAGCAGGAAATCCGATTTGGTTTCTGTAGATAATGTTAGATGATGAGCAATGTAGTTTGGTGATAGGAAATAGTGGCTGACTCGCGTACAAGACATTGCCATGAAACCTTGGAGCAAGATGCGGATGGTATAGGAAAAAAGATGTATGAGTTGTAAGATTTTAAGAGTTGCATGGGAAAATTGGTTTCATGGTAATCTGTGTGAAGTTAGAAAAGTGTGATTTCGTTCACAGAGTAAGAAAAATAAATACAATCTGCAGATTCGAGTATTTATAATGCTTAAAGCTGTTTGACGTTTTTTGGTGCCTCCCTGATTCTGGTAGTTTTGTGATAAGAACTACAAAAACGATCTACTGGTAAACGGAAGGAATAGTCTTTCCGGTTTAGAACTGAGTCGACTGTCAAGTGATGCATAGGCTCCAGGCCTCTGGTTATTGTCACAAAGCATTGGAATGAAGATTGCGCCCAGGAGCCACCTAGGTTAGGAGACAAATGCTGTAATATCATTGTAAGAGGCCGTACTGAGAAGGCTGAAACAGAACTAAAAGTGAATCTTGTACTAAAACATTGAGAAAGAATTTGAATCTTCTAATGGCAATGACGGGAATGATATGCATCTGTACGTCCGTGATAGTATGTGTGCCTTTTGAAAGGGATGTTTGGCGAGTGTGATAGCTGAGAAGATTTTCCGGGATGCCAAACAATTATCTCTATCGATGTCAGGGATGATGCTATTCCGCGACATTTCCTGTAAAATACCTATTTTCCAGACCCTTGGGGGGTGGGGGGGGGTACCCAGGTCTGTAAATGGCCTAAATATATATACTTTTGATTTGGACTGCATGTTCGCCACTGTTCTATATTTCCCGTGGGTTTTGCATTGTTTTCCTCGATTTTCATTCGTTCTTATACCCTTTCTTACGTATGTTATAATATTGTCTTGGGTTTGCACTGCCCATTTTGCGAGTAGAGCTATGTTTTGATTTCTCACCGTACGGCCAAAATGTTGCGGAACTTCGCGGAGAAGCATGGACCACGATTCTGGGGAGAAAACAATTTAGACTTTGAGAGGTCACATGACCACTGTTCACACAAAAAAGCGGGTATTATTTATCTACAATAGGTGGGAGCAAACTTGCGCTGTTTTAAGATAAATGAGCAACCAAAGGCGGATTTACGGAACTTGAGATAGAACTTTTCACAATGCCGCAGTACATTGTAGGAAACATATTTGGATATAGAAGTTACAAAATCGTGGAGTTTACCCTAAAAAGGTCCATTTAATGATTGGAAAATTATGACCCGATAGCAATTGTTGATGTTGTGGCGCTTCATGTTTGAGCCATACCATATGGATGAGGTGGAGTTTCACGCGCCCCCGCGCGAGTCAAAAAGCAAGCGCTGGCTTTCGTTCCACCCCTTCTCAGGTATGTGATAATTATTTGTCTTGGTAGTAGAAGATAAACTAAAGTACAAAATAAGCACATAGGGTTGCATGCCATGAATTTTTATCCTTCCTGTTGTGCTCCAGCATCAGGCGCAGAACCAACTTCTTCACCTCATGAACTGATGTTGAGGAAAAGAAAAGTGACGGAACGCAATGCTGGTTTGTATGGTGGTCTTTTGGTGTTTTAATGCATATGGTCCGGTGTTTTTTTTGGGGTTTTTGACGGTTTGACACCCCGCAGCTTTCGTGTGGATGAAGCGATGATTGCTCAAAATCACACTTTGGAGCAGTGCCTGGCTCAGTATTGCAGCACAAACATTGGTGACAAATTGCCACGCCACACAGATTTTTTTAGATGTTACATAAGTCTGGCATATAAGTGGTGTCAATTTCAATGTTTTGCGATGTGGAGTCATTTCAGACGGTCAGCAGTTGCTCAACCGACCACAATTTGTAAAGGATTGGTTTGCTTTGTGAGCGCCTTCAAGTGTGGAATGTATCAATCAGCCATTGCTCCATTCATCATTTGTGTTGCGTTGGTCAAAGGCTATCGTACGATTCCAGCCTGGTTACACTCTATAGTACAGTATACAGCCAAGACCCAATATGCTTCACTGCCGTGCCAAGCCAGCCGGCCACTTGCTTTGACTAACAACGCACTATAGGATGCAAAACAAAATTGATCTTACTTGGTCCAGGCTAGACTCCACAAACTCTCACACAGCAACTGCACCTTGGAGAACTGCTGGGATTTCCTGCCTTTGAACCCAATGGAAACCCGGTGTGGACCCCAATGGCCCGAGGCGCCTGAGCCTCAAAAAATCACTCCAGCTCAGTTCAGTTTGTAATTTGGAAATCAACACGTTGTGTGGATCTCCTGAGGTCAGAACGTTTTTGGAATTGGAACGTTTTGGCGCCTGGCGCCAAGTCGTAGTTTCTGAATCTTGGGTCGAGTGATTTCGAATTCAAAGAAACCCTGGATTCTGGATCTGCAAAGGTTTTCTCCGGGGCAGGCATTGCCGTTCACTAGTGGAGGCAGGCGCTGTTCGGAGTCGTTTCTTGCAGTCACAAGAGAGAACATGGAAAACGAGGAAAACTCTTTTGATTTACTTCCAGGCGTTGCAGAGGAAACATCACAATGATTTGATTCTCCCCACCAAGTCTCCATCTCTCCATTCCCCTCGCCCTCTCTCTAACCCGCGAAGGACACCTGCAGTCAAGCCCAACGGCCACCTGGTGCGTGCCCGAATGGCCCAAAAGCCTGGGGCTCAAAAAAATTGTGCTCCAGTTCCATTTGTGCAGACCTGGTATTTGCAAGTTGAATGAATCTCCTGAGGTCAGAACCTGTTTGGAACGTTTCGGCGCCTGACACCCAGTCGTAGTTTCTGAAGCTTTGCTCGAGTAATTTCCAATTCAAAGGAACCCTGGATCTGCAAAGGTTTGCTCTGGGGGAGGCATGGCCTTTCATTAGTGGAGGCAGGCACTGTTCGAGCTCGCAGCCACAAGAAAGACCATGGAAAGCGCGGAAAACTCGTTTGCTTGACGCAAGAACTTACTGCGACTCATGGCACAAAACGTTGCAGCGATTTTCTTTGAACCAGTTTTCCGCTCGTATGGTGGTGAAGGACGAGTTGAAGCACTTCGACTGTCAAATGAAGAGCTGAAACGTCAGTTGGCACCCTAGGGCGGAAGGACAACAAGTAATCTTCTCCATGTTTGTTTTGTCCAAAAACACTCACCAAAATGGTCCAAATAAATTCCTCTTGTGGGTTTTTCGTTTTTTGGATATCTACTCGTGCCGGTTTGGGTTTGGGGTCAACCTGTTGCTATGCAGCGAGGTGCGACAACCTGGCTCACGACCTGCGAAATCTGTGGGTCAGAAACCAGGCACTGCCAGAAATTCGAAATGAAATCCGTAAGAGTAAAACCTGGACCAACACAAAAAAATCCGTGGTTCAAGACGCCCAAAAGTGCGACGCCATGAGTTGAACTACTTGTTGACCTTTAGCAAACTCATCCGATCGGTGAATAGAGGTTGTGATATGGATTATGAGAACGAACATGATGGCGACCATGGCTTAAATGAAGGCTCCAACTCCTTCCAAAATTCGTTCGCCGGGGTTATGTATGCAGATCCTGACAGGAGCCGGAGGAGGCGCTCTCCTCTCACAAGGCCCCGAGATGTCTATAGCTATAGCTTGTACTTTGACATTGGTTGATCCCAACAATTAACAATTGTTTCCTGGCTTATTGATGAAGGCTGTGAGCCAAATTCATTGAAGCAACCTTGTGTGCAAGATTACTTGCAGAGTACGGTTGCTATGTAGTATTGCTCCTGCAAACAACTGAAGGTTCATCCCTCAAAACCCATCAGGAAATGAACATTTGATATTCCTGACACGGTTTTTCTTCGTGCGAACTTGTTGATATCGACCAGATTCAGCATGTGAGACGGGTACATTCGAATGCAGAACTTGGTGCAAGGCCCAGCAACAAGAATTGTGGGCCAGCACTCCCCTGAGTTGCAGATGCGGCCTAGTGCGGTTTTTCACGTGTACATGAACGATTCCGTAGACTTGACTGTATTTTGTATTTTCACAATATCATATCTCAATAAATTTGATTATAAAAGGTGATTCACATACTTGAAGTGCGGAATTTCCAGCCTGCCGAGTACCAAAGGGCACTTCCCAGCTCTCAAGGCCAAGATCGAATCAAATATTTGGAAGAGCAACTGCAAGCTGCACAAGCGTCTCGGAGCGAGAAAGCACATGAAAACACGATCCACATGTCACCATACATGGTTCAAGCTGAGTGCGACGCCGCAAAATGCATCGTTGTCAGCAAAGCAGATTAGATTCCGGGGCCTGTTACGTGGTTCCCTACGACGGGCTGGTGAACACAGGGGCATATATCGCTTGCAAGTGAATATTTGATATGTTTGGCAGTATTTTACACCCTGCAAACTTTACTATTTCAGTATGCAAGATGGATGGATACAGCCCAAAGCAAAACTTGGCACAAGGCCTAGAAACAAAAACTGGGAATCAACGTTCCTGAGCCACTAGAAGACCATTTTCAGGTTTTGCTACTGTGGCAGGTTGACGAGGAGACGGAGCCAGACACCACAGACGTTCCTACTGATGATTCCTCTGGTGATGAGGCTCCATGGATACTGATGAACAAGTGTGACATCAGATCTTTTTTCCGCCAAATCACAAGGGTGACACCGCAGCGTTTTTTTTGCTATAGCAAAGACTAGCCAAGTGATGAGGCCATTTGTCTCGCATCATAGTGCAACTTGTTGATGCATTGTAGGCTACTGAGTCGGAAAGCTCCGACACACAGGGCACGTCTGAGGCGCTTGCCATTTTATTTGGGCAGTCGAAGGGTTGAACGATCGTAGAATCAAACCTTTCTCCATCAAAGCATGAATTGGCAGTTACAGCGCCAAGACATGCAGTTATCTACTGTAATTATACACACATAACCACATTAAAAAGTTACTCTTGTATGCTTTGCAGTGTTTGGAACACCTTTCCGACCTTCCGGTCACGAACGCACGGCTGGCATACGAACGTGAATACAACCCTAAAGATTGCAAGGGTTTGCACAGAATGCAAGGGTTTGCACAGGTGTTTCCAAATTTGCTAGGCACTGGTGAAGCTCCTTGAGGCCTCTTTCTTGACTTGTCGAATTCATGACAAATCCCCTGCATTACATATTTTTTTTCTGTTTTCACGTGGTTCAGGTCTTCATACTCAGTTGCCGGAACGGCGTTGCGAAACCAAAGGACCTAGAGGCCAGGAAACAACTTAAAGGTCGCCATGTCACGGCGCATTTTGACGGGAACACTTGCAACTAGAGGCCTCAATTTGCAATTGTACATGATTATCCAATGATTGTGGCAGGCTGTGTTTGATGCACCAGAAGCCCTGCATGAGGAGAAAGAACGCAGACATTCAATGTTCTTATAGGGATCTCGGCTTGAATCATGTTCGGCTTTGTGATGCATCTCAGGACCCTTCAGCATTCTCGGATCACGTTTCACCTTGTGGTGCCGAGAGCCAAAGGATTGAACAGAGGCTGTTGAATGGCGGCTTCATGCACTTTGAAGCGCATGGTTAAAGATCAAACTGTTTGTTTTGTGAAAGCATTTGAAGTTTTAATGATGATTTGGAGTAGCGATGCGCATGATGCACTGTGCCCAAGGGTATGTTATTGTCACGGTCGTCGACAGCCTCAAAAGCTGCTGCCATACGGCTGACCCCGGCAGTGCCTGAGGACTGCTGCACTAACCTTTGTCCAAAGGAAATGGTACAAATCACCAATGATTTATTTACTGCAAGCTAACTATCCTAGACTACTATCGTGGATATATTAAGAGGACATTGAACATGCAAACAAATCAAATGCCAAGTGTGCATCTCTCATGTTTGCGTTGTTCCGGAGAGATTTGTGCATATGAGAAGACAGGATGTGACAGGTAAAGGACGGTGAATTTTCAGACAGACATGGGACTTGGACTGTGTCCCCAGACGCAAGGTGATACAACCATATATAGGGAAAAAAGATAAAAAAAGGGTATGCGCAGTTAATATGCAAACTTGATCAAAGGACCCAAAGATCGCAATGGTCAATGGTCTTCACAGGTTTGTGTCATGCATTGCGCAGTACGAAACAAGAGTGTGAAGAAAAAAATGCGTGTCGAAGTCAGCACGAAGGCTGCAATAACAAAAATCACCTCTTCTTGCAAAACCTCGCCAGAAAATGTACAATCGCAAAAGGCAGCAAAAGTGGTAGGCAAAGCGCGCGTCTTTCCACATCACATGCCAGTTACGGAAAGCAGGAAGAAACCTGCCGTGTTGAAGAACAGTTGCCCATCGCTAGCAAGCCCAAACCTGAATGAAGTGTTGGCAAAACATTAGCATGTGGACGATCAGCATCGAACAAACATCAGGAAAGTATAGGCACCTTCCAGCATATTGATTTTTTTTATGTTTTTTTACCATTAAGAACAAGCAAAACGAGGAACATTTGCCACCAGACGCAAGGTGATACAACTATATAGGGAAAAAAGGGTACGCGAAACACTTTTGTATGACCTGTTCAGGACTTGCCGGAACCACCCTTGGCTCCCGTCGAAGACGCAGATGACAAGGAAGAGGAAGATGACAAGGCCGACCGACAGCAACATGATTTTTGAGGTTGATATTTTGTTTGGACTTGCATTTGTGGATGTGTCGAAGAGAAAGGCCCTGGCCTAGGATTGGGTGCTATCAATTCCTAAACTTCCTAAACCTTCCCCAAGTCATCAGAACGCTACTTCCTGATGTGGCAGGTTGATGAGAAGGAGACGTCGAAACAGCAAAGGCGGCTTGGCAGTTCGCAATCCTGTCCCAGCCAAGTGCAGTTGTCATACTGGACAACTTCGCTATTTTTTTGCCGCCAGGCTTTCTATTGGTTCGCAAGACTCAGACAGATCGGACAGCACGAAGATTCCTAGTGACGATGGTTCGTTTGGCGATGAGGCTCCACGGGTGACGATGAACAAGTGCAACATCAAAGTCTTGAGTCAAGAGGTAAGCCTGTCTGTCGCAGCTTTTTTTCCCTGCTGCAACAAAGACTAGCCAAGTGATGAGGTCATTTGTTTCGCATCATAGTAGGATTTTTTGACAGGCACCTGTCAAATTCCATTGCAACTTGTTGATGCATTTGACGTAGGCGACTGCGACGGAAAGCTCCGACATACAGGGCACATCTGAGGCGCTTGCCATTTTGTTTGCATGTTCTAGTGGCGCTGTCGAAGGGTTGAGTCGTCATACAATCAAACATTTCTCCGCCAAAGCATGAATCGACATTTACATCACAAAGACATGCAAAGACAAGGGTTTAGACAACTGGGGCAAGTTCTGGTTTTTGTTGTCTTTTAAACACCTTTCCTGTCACCAACGCACAGTTAACATACAAACTTGATCAAAGGACCCAAAGATCGCAATGGTCTTCACAGGTTTGTGTCATGCATTGCGCAATACGAAACAAGAACGCGAAGAGAAACACAACATGCCTGACGAACACTGAAGAGACTCTGGATGAGGGACGTTTTTTGGAGCAAAAACTGGGTAAACATGAATGTAGACATCAGCACATCAGCTGTGGGCCAGATTTGAAACTTGACAGAAACAAAAACCCGGGACACTGTTTGCAGAGCCAGCATTTCGACGAACAGCTACAGTACTGTATATAGATTGTAGATCGACAAAAACTAAACCCAGACATGAGAGAAGTTGCAACCAACAATAGTGAAGGCCACAGATGGATATCTTGCGAAAAATGGAAGAGGTTGGCAAAAAGCACAATGTTGATGAACAGTTGATCATCAGTTCGAACCAACACCAGGAAAACATCAGGACAAACCAGCCAGGGTGTCCATGATTTTACCACTAAGAACAAGACTATAATCCAAGAAATTTTGTGCCTACAGGTATCGACGTATATAACGTGACAGACACAACTAAGGGAAGAAGGGAAGCGAGAACTAAACTCTTTTGCAACCTGCCCAAGACTTGCCTGAACCATCCTCGGGTGACCCAAAGGAGGAAAGTGACAAGGCAGAGCCATATCAGCATGAGTTTTGAACTTGTGTTTTGGTGTCTGCCTAAGAATGACTGCTACAATCCGTAGTAAAATCCGAGCAAAAGTGCATCCGTAGTAAAATCCGACATATCAGACAGGGCAAATCTGCAACAGCAGAAGTAATTACACCTGAAGCTGGGACTGCAATAACCCAGCTTCAGAAAAGCGTACGTAAAAAAATCGCGGAATAATGCGACAATAGGGAAGCACCATGCTTTCCTTCGCCACTTAAGGCAACATATGGTGAAGATATCCAATTTTGTTTCTGGCAGGTACCCAAGGAAAACAAGCGCGTATATCTTGGGAGGCAGGGTCGTTCTAGTGGATGCGTTTTGGCTGTCAGGACGTGGACAGAAGATGGCATGCATTCTACTTCATTCTGCAATAAAAATGACCAGATAGAGTACATCAAAAGTCATTTTGGTCAGTCACCGGTTATGATGATTTTGTCATATCATAATATAGTACAATAGTATTAAATATACGGTATTTGGCCTTAGGTATTTGATTCAGCAACTTCATGCGAGGACTTCTGGATACGATAAGGCTGAGATCCTCCTTGAGTCTCCTGGCCTTATAGAAAGCTGTACGTAAAAAAATAGGGGAAGGCACATGTCTTCTGTGATGCGCCAAACCTCTATCTTTCACATTTTAACTCTTGTCTGACTGCCACGATCCAGGCAATGCAGCAGCGGTGCTGCAAGTGAAGGCCAAAGGGCCACCGACGTAGGGAGTTACGAGTTACACAACGTGATGAAGTGACAGATACAATTCGAACACATGTTTTAAAGAGTACAGTGGCGATTCCTGTTGTGGGGCTGCCCAATTGCACCACTAGTTTTTAAATGTGTTTCGAACAGCATACAGGCTGAAGATGGTATGAACACATGGGGTGGGTTGGGGTTGAGATGGAGTGGACAATCGACCAAGATGTGAAGCGTCAGAAACTATACGGGCCATGTCTTGGCTTCTTGATCTTGGAATTTCTGGAATCTTGAGTTGACATTAGTCAAATCTTTTCATTTTTGAGAGTTACAATGGCCTTGAGCTTCTGTTTAGAAGATGAACATAATTTAGTTAAAACTGTCTGAGATTTGACATGCACACCCTCTGAGAAAATGGCTCCTAAACTCGGCGAAAACTTCTGGAAGTTCCACCCTGATTAAACTGATTCTTTGAGGCCACGGTTTTGAGACAAAATAGTTTGCACCCTTGCTGTAGCTTCTGAAGCCAGCCAACTATCCCAGTTTTGTCGGCAAGCATGCAAAGTCTGTAACGTAGTAATTAGGCAAGATAGAGATGCAGATAGTCTAACGCTTGAATTGTTTGAATCATGTCAGGATCAAAATGCAACCTCCTTGTTTTCTTCGTTAACACTTACTATATGGGTTTGTCGGAACATTTTCAATCTTGCGCCCACCCCGAAGTCCCATGGTTTATCATCATGTCCGCCAACAAGCTTGCCATTTGATGCCATGTCGGTGGATAGCCCACTTTCAGCTGAAGCTAGCATCCACTTGTATCAAGGTGTTCACATTCGGTTGCCTAAATTGAGCCAAGCGCTGCGGAGGTGTGGCCCTGATGAAACCTAGTGATTCCGAAGCCGACAAGGTCGGTCTCAGGGATCGACGGCGAATTAGGACATTATGAGAATCGTTTTCGTTTTTCTTTTTTTCTGCTGGATTTACTATAGTTGTGCACCAAAGATCTGACTCATTTCTAAGGCCTTTGCATCTGGTGCCCCAAGGTTCGCTTGGGAAGATCTGCAGTTGTGAAGTGTCCAAAAGACCATTCCTCACTTTGCCATTAAAATGAAACTTGGAACTGTGCCCTTGAACCAAAAGAGTGTGATGGCCCCTTCGCTGAATGAGGAAGCCAGCGCAACTTTCTGCTAGTTTCTGGCTTCCTGAGTGTCTTGGGCAGAACAGCCGGCTTGCTGATTTGAATTGGAATCGCAAATCACAAATCCAAATTGAGCGACTCAGATCTGGGTAAAGGCTTTGCTCAGCCCTAAGGTTGAGAAACCAAATATCATCCTATCTTGATGTGCCGGCACTCCGTGCTCAGCGAGCCACAGCTCGCGAGAACTACTCACCGAAGGCCCGGGCTGCTGCGCTTTGTTGAGATTCGTTTTTGCGCATTGTCCGACCTGAAATGCCAATCCCTCAGGCAGACTGTGAAAGTGTAGCGTGGCAAGACCGCACTTGAAAATGCAAATCGGTTGCCAGGCCTGATGCAATCGTGGCAGCTGCAGATATTGTTTACAACAAAGAGAAGCTTCCAGCGCGGGAGTGCGCGCAAGTGTTTGCTCGGGACCGCTTTCAACTCTTCGCGCGGTTTCGAGGCGCGACTATGTTAGAAACAGATCACTAGCATTCACTTGTGTTCTTCTGGAACATGGTTTGAAGAGTGTAAAGAACATTCTTCAGTTGAAGCCAGCACATGAGACATGCAAAATTCAGCTAGTTCATGTTGAGGGTATTGAATGCCGAGTGTGACCAACTGATGGTCATGGCACGGATGAATGTTGGAGCCCTGAGGTCTCATGTGCATCTTCGACGCCGGCGCACCGGCTTTTCGACTATGGTGGGCGAGCAACCCTGGAGCAATCACCCACTTGTTGACCTGCTGGATAGAACACAACAATTCATTGGACGCAAAGGGGCAAACGGTAGTTCTCGGAGCTTCGCTGAATGTCTTCGACGATTTGGACTGGGGTGCATTGCGTCTCAAGCAAATGTTTGCTGCAGAAATCATTCGATTGGAAACTGAGAGCCACCACCCGAGTGTGCAAAAAAATGTGTCTATAATTTTGCATCGGTTCCCGGAGATCCGATCATTGGCCTGCGCAGCAAGTGCCCCAGACACACGTGCTGGCGCGCTACGCAAGCCTCCCATTTGGACTTAAAGCTGCCCCAGAATTGCGCCACGAAAAAGTTCCGGAAACTCTCAGTTGTTTTGCAAGCTTTGGGGCTTTTTGAATACTTTGAGCCGAAATGGCATCCTTGAGAATTACAGTAGAAAGAGCAGCGCTCTTTCTACTGTAATTCTAAAGGATGCCATTTCGGCTCAAAGTATTCAAAAAGCGCCAAAGCTTGCAAAATTCAAAATGCCGCTTATCGAATGTCTTGAATGTGATGAGGCCGGTGCGGTGCGGCTGCTTGAAATTGGAGCTTCCTGGGCCCTGGAAAAACACTTACATTGTGAACCCAGAAGAACATCTCAGCCACACTGTTGACCTGGAGATTCGTTACTGTCAAAAGTTACGCTGTGGACATTGGTGTCTGATTCGGTATAGTCATACCAGAATGTTTGGGGTGTCCACTGGTTCGGTATAGTCATAGTCATAAATGTTCAAGCACCTGGCTGACTCATCCAAAAAACAAGTTGATTCTGGCCACATGGCTGGCAGGAGAGGAGGAGGAAGGCTTTGACCCCATGGGTTTCTCCTCCGCTTGGTTGCGAGAGGCGGAAGTGGAGTGTGACTCGTTGGGTTTCCAAAAGGCTAGGACCGGCTAGGACCCCCAAAACGGGATGGTTTTTTGAATACCGAAAAAAACATGGTCGAATTTTCTGTGTGGTTCACTTGATACTCAAAAGATCTTAAAAGCATCCAAAACACACGTGAAAACTCATAGCTGCCATAGCTGATCAAAACCCTTACTGCCGCTCAGATGTCAGGCGCAGCTGAAGCTCGGCCGCGTGGCCATCCTAGCCACGGTGTGTTGGAATCCCACCGATCTGCCACAGCACCTTGGCCTTTCATGTTGATCCAAGGCGGGAAACTGAAACCGAAACATACCGAAACCACATGCACCACAGTCAGTAGCACATGGAGCAGTTGAGCCGGTTTTGACACCTTGTTGGGCTTAGGATGTTGGTGTGGCTGGGCTATTTGGAACTCTTTGGCTTCCTGGCCATCATCAACATGCCGCAGAAATCATTCGATTGGAAACTGAGAGCCACCACCCGAGTGTGCAAAAAAATGTGTCTATAATTTTGCATCGGTTCCCGGAGATCCGATCATTGGCCTGCGCAGCAAGTGCCCCAGACACACGTGCTGGCGCGCTACGCAAGCCTCCCATTTGGACTTAAAACTGCCCCAGAATTGCGCCACGAAAAAGTTCCGGAAACTCTCACTTGACAGTGTTTTTCCCTTTCTAGTGTGATAAACTGTGTTCAACAGATTTTATATTTGGATGAGGCAAAATTGACTCGGAACCAAACTTTATGGTGCATTGGAAACACCATGCATTTTTCCAGCCATGTTCAGTTTTATTTTGTTTGGCAAATTTGTGCCCCAGTTGGATTCAACATCGCTTGGAATGTGGTACCGCTGGGAGGTCTGTTTTCATATTTGTCGTCGAATGCCTTTTAATCATCAAGCTGGAAACATGAATGTAAATACCTTCATTGTTGATTGACGCCGTTGGCCACTAGTTTGACGCGGAGTCATGTGCGCACCTCAGGAAAACAATGCCAGTCATTGTGATTTGGGTATGGATCAATACCCATTAATACCATTTTTAGGGAATGAACATCCATAAATCCCAGCTATTTTGATGTGAACTACAGGGGTACTATTGGTTTTGACACACTGCCATTTTTCTTTTGATTCATAGCTGGTAACGGTGGTTTTTTCATGTTTTTTCATGTTTTTTCAGCACCATGGGATGATCCCCAACGGCTGATGTTTTTAAAACGTCCCGATCATTGAGGCCGATCGACATGACCATTGCAGGCAGAGAAAAAATCGCCCACTTTGTGTTCCATTTCAAATTTTCGTAGCAACAATTTAAGACGAGTTCACCACCAATGAGGATATAATCAACAATCAACAAACATGGGAATGTAGCCAACAAAGTTTGGGATTTACATCATGTACATAAATCAACTAAGAATTGGGTACCAAACATATTCAAAAAATGGGATGGTTGAAGACACCGTTACGTTGCGCTCTCGCCGCTGACCCGTCCCCCGCTCCAACAGCCATCGACCAGGCGCGATGGGCCTGAAAGCTGTTGCCGCAGCGAAAGCGGCCTCAGCGGCGGCCAAACAGGCGGCAGCGCAGGCGGCGATGGGCGATGGTGGGAGTGCGTTGAAAGTTGGGAAGTGGAAACCAGTTGTTTTTTTTTTTTTTGTGAAAATTATTGAGATGTTGTTTTTTTGTTGGGATGGTTATTAAGAGGATCCTCAAAGGGATTTGTTTCTTGGTCCATGGCGGGCCCTTTTTTATTGGGTACTTTGAGCCGCCTTGCCCCAGCACCAGGCCATTGCAATGGCTCAGAACACCAATTTGGCGGCCCTGCAGGCCGAACAAGCTCAGGCGCCCAAGTTTGGACAGCGCAGTTGTCCATCTGGATTGTCCTGGAAATCTCGCGCTATCCTTGCTATCCTCCTTAAAGATGCCCCCCAACAAAAGTCGAATAAATCCCTTTAAAGAGGTTGTTGGTAGTTAGATTTTCATACTGGAAGATTTTGGGAGGCAAATCTCGAGAAATACGTCTATGGGGTGCCTGTGTCTTCCATCCCGCCCTCCGTGTTTGGGTCTCAGCTGTGGTTTTATGGTTTGTCTGAAACTCATGGGAAAACCCTGAAACAGAATGGATTATCATCATTTCCCCGCTATCTTTGTGGGTGGGTATCTGAAGTGCTCTTTTTGCACGGCAAAACCTGGTGAAAAGCAGGCTGAAACTGTCTGAGGTCGCCCATGCCTCCCGCTGCGATACATCCCTATCCCATGAAGGCGAGGGTATGGATCAAACATTCAAGGCCCAGTGCAGATGCAGATGTAGAGATTTGCAAAGAAAAATCATGTTCTTTGAAACATTTTAAAACAAAAGGATCGCATCTTTCAATGGATCACAGATTGAGTGTGACTTGATCCTTTACTGCTGGTTTCAGTCACCAAGAATGGGGATGATGACCTAAACTGATGTTCACACCTTATGTATACATAATATGTGTATATATATATATGTATATGTATTATATGTAAACATGAGGTGCTTAACCACCGAATATGTTTGTATATTACATTTACAGTAATACGTATACAAGTTATATAAGTATACATTATACAAATTCATGTGGTAAAATCCGTGCATAAACAATCTGGAGGTATTAAAGACTCAATTTTGCCGAGGTACTAAAGCAAGTGAATCAAAAATCCATTCATGATCCCATTCATAAACCCATCACTAAAGCCCATTGGAGGTAGTAAGACATGATGTTCGAATTTGTTGGTTAAACCTCTCAACGTCCCAGGCCGAGATGCCTGTGGCTGGGCTTGTACTTGGATGCTGTAGATGGTCACAAGACGAAGCGGAGGAAGCGAAGCTTCGAAAGAAACCCAGGGTCTTAAAAAGAGACCTGGGACAGTTCTTGTGATTCTGACATATGACCTGAATGGTCTGAATGGTCTGAATGGTCTGAATGGTTAAGTTGACACAGATCAAAGTATTCTGTGATTTCGGAGGCCCAACCAACCAACCTGATGAAGGCAGGAAAAAGACTTCAACATGCTCTTGCGATTGGAGTTGGGCCCTCTCAAATCTCCCCACAGAAACTTACTGAAGTAACTTAGTGGAGTTAACCCCTGCATCCGCAGCTTTAGTTTTCATTTGGCAAACTTTGACCACGGACTGGTGCTGATTTTCCAAGCATGAGCCCTCTACTGACTCGACTTCTCCAACAACTTGCGCCATCATCTCTGGAGCAAGTCGCGGAGCTTCTGTTTCACGGTAAAAATCACATCTACACCATTTTCTAGGAGGTATTTTCGTTTTTCACCGTCCTGCGCCATGTCGGGAGACATCAATAGCCAGGCCTTTTGGAATGAATTTATGCGAAGGCCCGATGCGAAAGCGGCCTATCAAGCTGAAAGGCGCCTGCAGGACGGCAATCAGTGGGGTTTTCTTGGGTGAACATCGTGGTGTTTTGCGTTTTTTTTTTGGATTGGAACACATCGTTGTTTTGCCTAGTATCTCCTGTTATGTCCTCATGCCCTATGCCTCAACCAGCTACTTCTTGGGATAGAAGATATTGCACTCATAGGTTGCTTAGAAGGGCCTGGGGAAGGAGAAGAAGCGCTTGTGGCTAGAAGAGCGCAAAGTGATCGAGGACTTGCCTGGGCTGTCTCCATCAAAAATGGGTGAATTATCCCCAACTTATAGCTGTTTCAATGGGACAATCGGGATAAATATGGGATTTTCAGATTTTCATCGAAATTTTGAGTGAGTACCCATTGTCAAAACAAAGACGGATGAAAGTTTTGCGGCCCACATTGCGATTGGACCATGACCCTGGGTTAGCAGCATATTTTTTCGGCTCGTTCTCTTGTGTCCAAGTCCATGCTTTTGGTTTTGGATCATTTCAAATAAGGTTGGATGGAATGGAATGCATGGAATGGAACTTCCATTGACTATGATGGACTATTGATACAGGATGGGGCCCCCCAGTTATAAGTGGGTTTATAAACCCTTATAACCCCTATTAAGTATAGTTATATCTACCATAAAGCATTCATAAAGCCACTTATAAGGCAACTTAGCTATTTTTGGGGCCCCATCCTGTATGGATGGCATGGCATGGAACTTCCATTGAATCTATGATGGACGATGGATGGACCATTGATCGACCAGGAGCGTGGCGAGCACCGACGGATGATTGCGGATGCCTTGGAGGAGGGAAATGGAGGGATTTTGAGGCTTCGGAGTGTTGGTATTCTCCAATATACCCTCTGGTTATGACTAACATAGCCATGGTATAGATGGCCCATTTATAGATGGTTACCTATTAAAAATGGGGATTTTCCATGGCTATGTTAAATAACCAGATGGTAATGTGGTTAATCAGATTGATGATATTTTCCCATATAATGATGGTTAACGATGGATTGTAAATCTTGATTTGCCAAACAATTTTTCAAAGGGATATATCCTATGGTATAGTGATGGTTCATTACTATCCCAATGCAGCCAAGGATGATGTGAAAAATCTTGGGATGATGGGTATGTAGCCAACTATCTGATTCGGAGCGTTCAAATAAGGCTATTTTGATGGTGAAGATGGCATTTTGAACCATGGGATAGGTCTTTGGTTCGAAGTTCTGCAGTTTTTTCATCGCAGGGGAAAGTTGCGCAATGGCCCGAACACCTGTATGTCAATGGGTATAATGGCATAACTATGTATTATATATATGATATATATATAATAATATAATATATAATATCTATATATTATATGATAATATCTATATATTATATGATAATATATATATATAATAATGTATATATATATAATAATATATATATATGTAATGATATATATAATATATAATAATATATAATATAATATATATAATATAATATATAATATAATATATAATATAATATATAATATAATATATAATATAATATATAATATAATATATAATATAATATATAATATAATATCCTCTCATATATATAACTATAATCTATACTTCTCTCTACTAATCTCTCCTCTCCTCTATCCTCTCATCATCTCGCTCGCATATTACTCATATACTCTCTCATCTCCTATATCATCATAACTCTATCCTCTCTCTCTCCGCTCTCTCTCTCTCTCCGCTCTCTCTCTCTCCGCTCTCTCTCTCTCCGCTCTCTCTCTCTCTCCGCTCTCTCTCTCTCTCCGCTCTCTCTCTCTCTCCGCTCTCTCTCTCTCCGCTCTCTCTCTCTCCTCTCCTCTCTCCCCCCTCTCTCTCTCTCTCCTCTCCTCTCTCCCCGCTCTCTCTCTCTCTCCTCTCCTCTCTCCCCTCTCTCTCTCTCTCTCCTCTCCTCTCTCCCCTCTCTCTCTCTCTCTCCTCTCCTCTCTCCGCTCTCTCTCTCTCTCCTCTCCTCTCTCCGCTCTCTCTCTCTCTCCTCTCCTCTCTCCGCTCTCTCTCTCTCTC